ATGTATGTGAGTGTGGCTCTACAACTACGAATGCACAGTTTTTAGTCGAGCTAGAATCAGGTGGGGGGGAGGGTTTATTATGTGGTTCAAATATCCAATGAAGTCACATGACTTATTAGGTAGGTAGGAATGTTTTACAACTATCCATATTCAAACTGATACGTGAGCAAAACAAAGTTCATATTCGCGTTGTAGTCACTGTAGCAAGTTGTTAAATTAGCCTTCACTGACAACTACTTCACTACTACATTATTTTGGTATAATTTATAACTATTTTGTAATAAAGAAATCATTCAATGCATTCGGAAATAAAGATTTCCCCATCAAGCATAATAATGTAGTGTGTTTTGTAATACACAAGTTTACACACAGTATGCGTCTTTCAAATATGTTAGTTCAATACATTTAATACCACAGACAAAAATTAACCTCTCAAAGCAATAAATAACTGAGGTACTGTGAAATAATTTATTTTCACTGGTATTAATTTACGCTGAAAAGACTTTTTGGGTATTTTGTATGGAATTTATTTTCACTGATTTTTGGTAAGTTGAATGTAGACTATAGGAAAAAAGGTATATTCGCTGGATTTTCTTTTCACTGAATCACTCCTTCAGCAAAAATGAATTCAAAGCGAAAATAAAGTGTTTTACAGTATATGTACATGTTCATGAGTGATATTTACATTCACACTGTATTGGCATCACACTGATAACATTAATAGTATTTTATAGCTCTACCACAAGTGAACATCAAACAAATTCAACTATTTAATTTGAATTTAAAAAGCAATGAAAGGATCTTGACTCGACTGTTATTTTCCCAATCTGACTTTTTTGTTGTTGTAATCCTGTTAAAACAAGGAAGCATTTATTCATTTATTATCTGAACACAGGGTTCCTTAATTCAGTACCATATACTATAATTATCAATATAAAACACATGCAGGGAGACTACTTTGAAGATGATGACATTACCAACTTTTAGTATGAAAAAAATAAAACAGGATCTAAACTACTGTAGAATACTTTATTTTCGCTTGGAATTTATTTTCGCTATTTTCGCTGAAGGATTATTCCATGAAAATAAAATCCAGCGAATATACTTTTTTTTCCATATATTTCACATTAAACTCATCAAAAATCAGTGAAAATAAATTTCATATAAAACGCTCAAAATGCCTTTTCAGCGAAAATTAATTCCAGCGAAAATAAAGTATTCCATAGTATTTAAGTTTGAAGCTCCCTCGTCGACTGAAGATGCCAAATGATGATAAAACTATTTTTTAACATACCGGTACTGTTAATGTCAAACATTATTTTACAAAACATCAAAATATTAACAGTATGTGTTGTCGCCATTTATGATTCTAAAACACAGCAATGGCATTTTAAGAAACAACAAGCAGCCTATCGGCTGAGACAGCTCTGCTGTTAGCAATGCACATTTCTGCTGAAGAATTGAAGCTATCATTAGAAAGTAAACAAATCTGAGAGAGTTCCACCTGTTGTACATTTATGTTTATATCAAATCAATCAGACTTGCGGTTTTTAAAAAGAAGTAAAAAAAATAACTTTTTACCAAAAATTACAAAAATATTCATCAAAATTAGAGAATTGACTATATCATCATCATGAAATGAACAAACCAGAGCAAGGTCCACCTGGGTATCTATATGTATAATATTAATTGATAAAAGCAATCAGACTTGCGTTTTTTAATGGATGACGACGATGGACAATCACTCATATGGTAAGCTCTGATTGACACTGTGTAAAGTGTGCAAATTAGAAAGGGTCAGATGTGTCCAGGCTCGAATAGCATGTATGAAAAATGTAACTGGTATTTAAAAAGTAACTAACATTTTTTTTAAAGATTACAATAATGGTACTTTAATTTAACCATTCAGTGCCTTTATTTTGTCAACATTTTTTATGTATTTTTCTATAATTTTTTTTTGGTGATTTTGGTCTAAATGGGCATAATTTGCCATTGACAAAATATTGATTTGTAAACAATTTTATTTTGGTATTAAAGAGTTAATTCAAAGTACTTCTGCTTACTGGAACCATATATTGTACATGTTTTGTGTACCATCTGTAGTTAAGGGAAGTGATTGACCTGAAATTTAAGGTCACATAACACAAATATATAAGTTAGGAATAGTGATACGTGAATACATAACATTTAAGGATTCATTGTATCCCAGTAGCGAATTGTTGACATAATGCATTTTTTGAAATAATTAAAAACAAAAAAATACATTTGAAATTGATTGTTGGACTCTGATCAGTTATATGTCACATTTCGAGAGAATTATCATATATTCATTACAGGAAATCTTTCACAGTTGACATATCGTCCATTTTGAGCTTCACGAACTGAACTACTTTTTACATATCATTATACTAGGGTGATCAGATGACATATAACACCAGTATGAAAAATTGTATTCTGCCGCGTGAAATAAAGATAAATCCTAAAATTTTCACAATGAACATTCACTATAAACTATGATTCATTTTAGGATGGCGGT